CCCTGTGCATCTCTCGTTGTGCACAGTACATGACAACAGGCAGGAGATCTAATAAAACACAAGCGAGTCCTGCACTGACCTTGGGTGGCCATCACTGGGACTATCTAAATAGCTCTGCACAGGCTTTGAAAACCTAACCTGCAGCAGCACCACGGCACATGGGTAACGAGTCAGAACAGGCAACCAGGGCCTTGCCAGGCTGACTGCCCACTAGAACAAAAATCTCAACGTTTTAGTGGAAATTTCAAACATGACTCAGACTCTCATAATATTGAAATTGTCTAGTAAACAACCCCAAAGTATTAGATACATGAAGAAATAGGAAAATCTCAACTTGCATGGGAAAAGACAATCAAAAGGTGGCAATGCTAAGATGGTAACATAGTGGTATGCTCTGACAAAGACTTTAGTGTAGGTTCTGTAAAATGCTTCATGTGTCTATTATATATATATGTTACTGAGACTGCAGGTGAATCAATCAAATCAACTATTCTTTCACAGTGTTTAAACAAACCATAATTGGTTACTAAAATGTCAAAATATGGGAAAAATACGGGTGAACTAAAAGACAAAAGCATGTTATATTTCCCTATTATTAGAGACAAGTGTGGAACAGAATAACACAAAGGTGGGTGGCGATGAGCTGCAACAGAGTCAGCTGGTAGCAATGATCTTCTCTGCGGAGGGTGAGTGAGAAAACAGTTACAACTGATTTTTAAAATATTAATCAGAACAGGGAATGTAGCTCAATAGTAGAGCACTTGCCTCGCATGTGTGGGGCTCTGGGTTTGATCCCCAGCACTACAATAAAATTAAAGTAAACTATATTTTGTGCAGTTTAAGGAAAACAAATGTAATTCAAACTCCAACCATCTACGGCAATAGTATCTGGTTAAGTAATGTGCAGCTGAATTCAAGTGCTGTGTGAAAAATATTATAGGATATTATAGGAAAGTAGAGGTAAATATTTGAATAATCTTGGACTGAGGAAAGCTCATCTGAGAGGTTACCAAGGCAGGACCAACAAGGGACGCAGTACAGGGACAGCCATCAGGACAGCAGCCAGAGCACTGCCCCATATGGCTCACGGCAGAGATCAGGGACAGACACGCTGGAGGGCAGTGTGACAAAGCTACCCAAAGCAGGTCCCCCACTGAAAATTTTCCCCAGAAGAACACAGGTACCAGTACAACAGGGCAAATGTGTGCCGCTTGGCGGGGAATGACTCTCAGAAGGCAGCTGCACGACACGCAGAGCACACACTGGTAGGAACGCAATGCGATGACAGGCGGCAGGTGACCTGCGGGATTCCCACCTGCCAGCGCTGGCGGAGAAAGGCAAGGGACAGAGAAAGAAGACTCTGATTCGGGAAATGCCACATTCAAAGCCATTACATGTCCGTGTTCGCATGTATAGACACACATGGGCCTTTGTGGGAGTTTGGTACAGGTCTGGAGCAGAACAAAGATGTACACACTCTAGGTTGCTCCCATGGGCATTAGGGTCAAGGATGGGGCTGCGGCAGTGGGTGTGGGAGGGTGTCAGAAACAAAACAGCAGCCGCGATGCCATCCCACTCATGCCAATGTGTGTGCAGGTGTGCACGTGTGCACAAAGAGGGGTAAATCAGAGGGTGGGCACCAATGCTAGTGGTGATTGCCATAGGGCTACAGTGTCCTCAGGCCTTTGCTGCACTCATGTTTATCCCTGGTCTGAATTCTTTTGAATGATCATATCTACACATATAGATGTATGTGTCAATATATACGTATTTTTTGCAGTGCTCAGCATCAAACCCAGGCCTTCCACATGCTAGGCAAGAGCTCTACCACTTAGCTACATCCTAAGCTCTGATTAAATATTATTTACATAATAAATATGTCATTTAAGTGTGGTAAAACAATGTATATTTTAAAAGGCAACAGAAAATTGGGAAGAAAAATATTTCAGCTTTTTATTGAGGGATAATGTACTATATGAAGAGCTTTCCTAAATTAATAGGGAAGAAAATCCTCTACAAAAATGGGTAACTATCCTAAGCAAGTAATTTATAGAATAATTATTTTATGTAGTCAACTTCAACAAATATTTATTTATTTATTTATTTACTTTTTGAGACAGGGTCTTGCTATGTAATTCAGTCTGGCCTTGAACTCACTATAGAGCCCAGGCTGGCCTTGAGCTCACGGCAATCATCCTGCCTCAGCCTCCTGAGTGCTAGGATTACAGGCATGTGTCACCACGCCTAGCTCAACAAAATTTTTAAAGGAATGGAAGTTTAAAAAAAGAGTCAGAAAATAGTAATTAAAATAGGGACTTGTGATTACAAGGATTAGGGAACCAAGCATTTCATACACTGTGTGGTGGAAATGTAATTTTTTCCTCTGGAGGACAAATTGATAATGTAAAAATCTTAAAAATACATATAGACTTAGAATCTGAAATTCCATCTCTCGGAATTTATGCTATGGGAAATATACCAAAACATATGCACAAGTATGTGTATGGCATCTCACTATAAAATATGTAAAGCTGAAAGCAACCTAAAGGAGCATCCACAGGGTCGGCCCTGATGTGGAATGTGTGTAGTAGCTGTTAACAGGACAGCGCAGACTTCCAGTCAAAGATAGTGACTGAATGTACGTGTATTTACACCTCCCTGTAACTGCCTTTTTGGTACCGGGAACTGAACTCAGGACCCTGCACTTGTGAGGCAGGTGGCAGCACCACTGATCTAAATCCATGGCCCCTACACCTCCTTTTTAAAACATCCAAATGAAATAACAGAAAAATAAATAAGTAAAACTAGCACATGACTGAAAATCTAAAAGTGCTACCCGCATATCAGTGCCGTGGGAAATTTCCAGAAGAGAATAAAGTACAAGAGATGAACCTAGACACACAATGGAAAACAGGAACTCATAACCCTGACAAGCAAAACCAAGGTGCTCCATGAAGGGTGAGTTTTTCCAGCAGACTTTCTGAACAACTCCTGGGTCAGAAGCAGCATCAGTTCAGAGAAAGCCACAGTGAGTGTGGTTGGTTGAGAAGTTAACCAGAGGGCATGGCGAAGCCACACCTGCTCCAGAGGCACAGCGCTGCGGCTCAGATTAGAGTTGGTCCGCAGTTGTATCACTGAGCGTTGTTATGGCTCTCAGCCAGTCAGGTCTAGCCCATGGAAGAGCTCTCTACACTGGGATGTCCGAGACACCCTCTCCTAGAAGCTGTGTGAGACTGGAGTGTGGGAATCCTGCACCCAGACTCCCACCTGCGCCAGGCCCATTCTCTTCCTCACACAGCCACCAAGGCAGGGAGCGTTGCCCTTTCCCCCGTAAGCACTGGATGCACTGAATACAGATGCCTGGTGAAGGCACTGGCTACTAACCATGGACCAGAGGGACAGACAGCTGTGAGGAAGGGCAGGGTAAGACAATTTACATGTTCTTGTCCATAAACCCACATTTCTTGAATTTCTTTACCACAAACACACATTCATAGTTGCACAATTATAAAGCATATATTTGAGTAATCTACATATTTAATTCACACATTTATATCTAAATACAGACTCACATCACTACTGATGTGTAATACCAAGAGATGTTTAAATAAAAAAATAAAAACAAGATGGTTTTATTTTTGGAGAAAAAAATAGTATTGGGCCGGGGATTTGGCTCAGTGGTTCTGCAGCTTGCCTAGCAAGTGCAAGGGCCCGAGTTTGATCCCCAGTACAAAAAAAAAAAAAAAAAAAAAAAAAAAAAAAAAAAAAAAAGAAAAAAAAATTTTTCTTATT